AATTTCAGTGTTCTATTCCAGAATTACTCTGAAATCTGCCAAGTAAAACCCGGTAACAAATGCCAAGTCAGGGCGCGTACATACTTGAGCATGTTGCAAGCTTCCGACAGCTGAAGCATATGAAACCACTTTCACTTTATCAATTGAGCTCATATTGGTTCCTGGGGCATTGAAAATCTCCATATCTGTCGCCCTTGACTATAGGAGTAGGTGAGAGACTACATTTGTGTATACTGAATTTCTTTAAGATCTTTTATATGTATGCCTTTTGTGACAGTCCTTATACCTTTTTTCTTCTATCTCGGTGAATCTCGATCCCTAGAACGAACGAGGCTTCGCCAAGATCTTTCATATCAAATTTCTTTGTCTCTAGTAGTAGACTGACATCACTACTAGCAAGTAAGATATCATCTACATACAGGACAAGGAAGATAAACTTCCCATTCTTAAACTTTATATTGACACAATTGTCCTCTACATTCTCTTTACTTTGTATAGACACAATTGTCCTCTACATTCTTTTTAAAACCCAAAATTCTTTATTGTCTAATCAAACTTCAAGTACCACTGTCTTGAAGCTTGTTTTAATCCATAAATGGATTTCTTTAGGCGGCATCACATTCGTTATTTTCCTTCCATGACAAAACCTTTCGGTTGTGCCATGTAAACATTTTCCTCCAAGTCTCCGTTGAGAAATACCGTCTTTACATCCATCTGATGTAATTCTCAATCGTAATGTGCCACTAATGCCATTATGATTCTGAAGGAAACTTTACATGAGACTGGAGAAAAGGTCTCATTGTAATCAATCCCTTCTCTTTGCATATAGCCTTTTGCCACAAGTCGGGCTTTATATTTCTCTATATTCCCTTGAGAGCCAAGTTTTATTTCGTAGACCCATTTACAACCTACTGTTTTGGCTCCTTTATGAATTATTTCCAAGTCCCAAACTTTATTGGCATTCATTGATTTCATTTTATCTTCCATGGCCTCAAGCCACTTTGATGAATGATCACTTCTCATGGCTTCTTCAAATGAGATGGGATCATCCTCCATTTGAAATTCCTCAGTGTTGTACACTTCATAATCAGCAGGAATAGCTGATTTTCTAACTCTTTGAGACCTTCTAGGGGCCTCCACTTTTGGCACATCTTCTGTTTGAGGCTGTTGTTGCTCCTCCTCATGTGTGGCAATAGGTTCTATAGAATCCTGAAGAACAGGTTCCTCATCGTCATTCATTGTTGCCACAGGTGGGATAACAACAGGTGCTGACACCATAGTCTGTTGCACTATCGGTGCAGCGACAACAGGTAGTGAGAAAATTGGCTCATGAATCATTGGAGTGGGCGCATACACCCGCTTCACTTCAAGGTCAATTTCTCGAGCTAGCATGCTCACCCTCATCAATTCATCCTCTAGGAAGACAGCGTGTCTCGTTTCCATAAACTTTGTCAGTCCCTCTGGATAGTAGAAACGAAAACCTTTTGACTTTTCTGGGTAGCCAAAGAAATGGCACCTTACTATTTTGAGATCTAACTTCTCAATGTTTGGGTTAAATACTTTAGCCTCAGTAGGGCTCCCCCACACACACGCAAGTGGTTTAGTGAGGGTACTCTTTCTGTCCATAACTCATATGATGTTTTGGGCACCGACTTTCTTGATACTCTATTGAGAATATGAATTACGGTTTTTAACGTCTCCATCCACAGGCTCAACTGTAAGGTGGAGTAACTTATCATACTGCCCACCATATCCATCAGGGTGCGATTGATTCTTTTAGCTACTCTATTCTGCTGAGGTTCGTCCGGTGTAGAATACTGGGCTACTATGCCATTCTTTTAGGGTATGCCGACCGTAGTACTCCCCCACGGTCAGACCTGACTATCTTAATCTTTAATATCTTAAATTTATCCAATACATCTTTTTTTTCTTTGATTAGATAAATATAGCCATAATGGGAGTAATCATCTGTGAATGTTATGAACGGATCATAACCATCCACACTCTTTATAGGAAAGTTGACCACAGATGTCTGTGTGAATAATCTGTAAAATTCCTATGCTTCGTTTGTCATCTTTCTTAATCTTCTTTACATACTTTCCTTTTATATATTCCCTGCATTGTTCTTAATCTGAGAGCTTTAATGGAGGAAGAATACCATTCTTAACTTGTCTTTTTAATCTCCCCCTCGAAATATGGCCTAAACGACAGTGCCATAATTTCGACAGCGCATCGTGAGCTCTCTTATGCCACCATTTCCAGAGTAACACTCTGTCACCAGCTGTTTTATCAGCTGGGTAGCATATATCTTTGAAGAGCCAGTGAACTAACTCTTTATTCTATCGAGGTACTCGGTGACTGTGTCACACTCTGGGATTGAGCCCACAATTACAGGTTCAATCATGTTCTTTATCATAGCCAAAACATTTCTTATTGGCAGTGACTCACTTCCTATGCACAAAAGTCATAGGACTATCTTTTGGGATTCAAAATCCCTCTCTTTAGTTGTCAAGTGGCATCATTCTCTTTTGTCTCCCTCACTGGTGCCATAAACTCAGTGGAACACGGTGAGGTGACTACCCAGTCCACCTTAGATAAGATGAAAACTAGGTCAAAACTTTTCTTATCATTAAAATAACACCATTTGCATGCCTTGATTTCAACGTTGGTCAAAATCAAAACATACAACTATTCTTATACACTAATTCTACATCACCGTTGGGCAGAAATAGAATTAATGTATAAATCATTAACTTTCACAATTATTCTTACACATTAATTCTACATCACCGTTGGGCAGAAATAGAATTAATGCATAAATTATTAACTTTTACAACTGTTCTCATACACTAATTCTACATCACCGTTGGACAAAAGTAGATTTAATGCATAAATCATTAAAATTATCAACTTTTCTTATACACTAATTCTACATCACCGTTGGACAGAAATAGAATTAATGCATAAATCATTAAAATTATGATATTGTTATTAACAACGTTGGTCAGAAAATAACAACATCATAATCATGTCAAATCTCTTTTTCTCCAATTAAATACCACATTGGTTCAAAATAACTGGAGAATCAACATTTTCTTTAGCAGCGGAAAAAACTTTCTTTTTCTCTAATTAAATATCACGTTGGTACAAATTAACTGGAGAATAAACAATTTCTTTAGCTGTGGAAAAACTCTCTTTTTCTTGAATTTTATCCACAGGAAAAATTGCTTTTTTATTTCCTTTAATCCATTAATCAATTTCCAGGAAATAAACATTTACTGGAAAACTTTGAGAATATACTTTTTCTTTAGCAGCGAAAAAAATAACTCAATTTCTTGAATTTTACCCACAGGAAAAATTTACTTTTTCTATTTTTCTTTTGAGCCAATTTGCATTTTCAATTTTCCAGGAAAAAGAAAAAATGCTAAAAGCAGCTCATTCTTTACTCTCTCGGCTAAAAGCGGCAAAAACCACTTTTCCATTTCACTCATCATCACACACACAGCCGCACTCCCGCCACAACTCAGGCCTAGGTTTAAGCAAAAGTCTTGTTACCAAGCCTTCGCACAGGGCATGACGGCCCGATCAATCTCGGCCGTTCATGTCGATCCGACGGTCAAGGCCGATTCGATTCAAGCAAAACAAAACAAGCAGCCCACGGCCTCCGCCCGGAAACCCTAGGTCATTTGGCCGCTCTGCTTCTCTCTTCGCCGCTCTCCACTCCTCTCTCGCTCCGTTCTTTCTTCCTTAGCGCATCCAAAGAAGGATCGAGAGTGAGATGAATGAAATGAAGCGAAGATGGAGCGAAAGCATGGCACCGTCGCATTGCCCCGCTGACGCTGCGGTGCTCTAATGGGTGAGCACGCCGCCAGAGAGCGACTGCCGCGACGCCTTCCGGCTCGGCTTTCTTCTCTCCACGGGCCAAGGGCTGATTAGGCTCTTCTTCTCCCAGCTACGAAGGAAGGTGGGTCCGTCCCTTTTTCCTTCTTCCCCGTCCCCTTCTCTCTTCTGGGATTAACCCGTAGTGGGGATGGGGTCAAAATTAGGGTTAGGGTTTCGCTTTTTGATTCGATTCGGCCGATTCGATTTTCTGTTTTTTTTTATTTCTTTTTCTTTTCGCTCATCCGAATGGGGATCTAGGGTTAGGGGTTCTGGTTCCGACCCTCATTCTTTTTTCTTTCTTTGATTTCCTTTCTTTACGCTTCTGATTCAACCTTTAGGGATGAGGATTCGTTCTAGGGTTAGGGTTTTGGCTCCGTTCATCTTAAGGCCGAAACCTTTTCTTTTTCCCCTTTCTTTAACCCAGTTAGGGTTAGGGTTAGGGAATCCCTTCTCTATTTAGATCCGAAAGGATGTGTTCGGTTCTTTTCTCTTCTTCTCTGATCCGAACACGGATCTTTTCTGTTCTTGCCGTGCGCCAGTGTAGAACAGCGGTGCGGCCATCTTTTCCCCGCGCGGTGGCGGTGGTGACCGGTGAAGCGGTGACTTCCGCCACCCCGCCACTCTTTTCTTTCTTCTTCTTTACCCGATTAGGGTTAGGGTTACACAGGCAACCTAGCTCGATACCATTGTTAGGATCAATGATTACCTCTCTGTGTAAATCAGAGATCCGGAAGGCTCCTCGCCTTTCTCTCTGCTATACGCGATCGGAAGCAAGCGTGACGCCGATGCCATGTGTAGTAGACGTCATAGTGGCGAGGAGGTGAAGTCTAGTGGCCCGGTGTAGACCTACAGGGGCGACGACGGTGCGGTGGGACATCCCGTCGCTGGCACCACTTCTTTAAAATCGGATTAGGGTTTTCTGTGGGTGGGATGACGGCTCCAGTGAACCTCGTAGTCCGAGCTTTGATCCCCACCTTTCTTTTATGTGTACTGTGTGACAGAGATCCACCAACCGTATTAGGATTAGACTCCCCTAATCAGGAAGCAGAGACGAGGACTCAATAAACCGGTGGAGATCAACTAACATATGCAGCTACTGGCACGAGGTGAAGATGCTCTCAAGTCTCATAGGCTGCTGCGGGCACCGATTTTGGTATGTCTTCCAGGACGAGCACGCTGAGTGTGCTATACTCGTGCAGAGGCGGGAGCAAGCAGCCTGCAAGCTTGAGGCTTCGGAGGCGCGATGCACGGGGCTCTTTGCACAGGCCATGGCTGGGAAAGGAGTGCAACTCACCTCGTCGATTGAATGTTGGCTTAGCCACGGCCTCGAGGTCCTCGACGCCCCAAGAAACAATGGCCTCCTCGATGAGCCTGTTCATGCCGACAGCGCTGCCGGTGACGAAGAACTCGAGCCTCATCCTGCTGACCCTCCGGCGAGGTCCTTCTAAGAAGCTCTCCAAGGAGCCAGTGAAGGCGCGCATCGCGCGGTGCTCATACCTCTTGATGTTAGGCAGGAGCTCGCATCTCACGGCGTCGCGTCTGTAGTATGGAGGAGCTCCCCGGGGGCAGATGTCGTGGTAGAGGCGGACCCATCGGTGGTAGCGCGGCGGGAGGGCGGGGAGCTCGCGGGGAAGGTGCGCCCAGCGCCTGGAGAGAACCCCGGTGCCGAGCGCCGTGCGGGTGTCGAGACACCGCAGGATGAGCAGGAGGAGGTCGTCGGGGAGGGCGCTTATCCGGTCTTCACGGCAGGATGAGAGCGGCCGGCGCCGGAATAGGATTCTACCCGCCCGGCTCCTGGTCCTCGCCATCACAGAGCTACCGGCCGCCAGAGATCCGCGCTGGAGCAGGAATCGACCTACCCCGCTCCTCGCCACGAGAGGGGTACCTCCACCTGCGCGACCAACCGAATAGCGAGCAGATGTGCCTGATTCACGGCCGCGGCGGCGGTTAAATAGAGCCGCCGGGATCGGCATCGAAACTTGTTCGGACTAGTCCTCCAAAGTTTGTGACTTTATCTGGATCGGCGACTCGGAATCGGAGTAGAAACGAAACCGCCGGCAGCAAGATTGCGGGAACGGAGCACCACCGGCGTGGTGTTGGTGTGGGCCTGTGGGGATGAGGAGGGTGGACACGGAGCGATTCAAGTGTAGCAGCTATCAGAGAGCCGCCAAGCTCGCATTCGCCAGGATGGAAGAAGCAGAGGCGTGCGACGGGAGCGGCAGCCGGCCCAGGCGGGAGGGGGAGGAGGGGGAATTGAGCGGCGGCGGCCAGGGCAGGACTGATTGAGAGTGAGTGAAGGAAAAGGCCGTACTCGTAAGTCTGTACTGCTGTGCCGCTGTTTCGCCGTACTTGACCCCGATTAACTGTGGCGATGGCTGCTCGACTCGATTCGGAGAAAATATGTATAATATTTATATTTTTAAAAAAATTTATTAAAAATTAAATTTAAATATCTATATAATGATATTAATTATGTATCATAAATATTAATATTTTTATATATATATTTAGTCTAAGTTATTTCTCAGGAAACAAAAACATAAATATTTAGGGACGGGTTACTTCTCACTTAAAAGTCATATATTTTTTATTTTATTTAATCAAACTTATATAAAAATATTAATATTTATATATAGTGTATAATTAGTATTATTAGATAAACTATTCAATATTTTTTTTAATAAATTTATTTAGAGATACAAATATTAATATTTATATATAGTGCGACACTTTTTTTATGCAACGAATGAACTTCATTGAAAAAATAAGCTGAAACACTGTTACGGCTGATTTGTTGTGAGAGAAAAATACTGTTCCGGTTGAAAATACAAGCCGAAAAGTACGAATTATAAGACAAGTGAACAGGGCCATTGTACTAGTTCACGCCTGTACGTTGGTACTGATTTCAAAATTCACGCAATCCTATATATTTTTTAGCTTAATATATAAATAAAAGTCTCATGTGTATCATGATTTTGATTTGAGTATAAGCATGGATACCCGAAAAACCTTGTACAGTCAAACGTCTTGCAAGCATAGCTTGTAGCTCACTTTAGCTAAGAGCCTCCTTGGAATCCAATAATTAAAGTCTACTTTCAACACCTAAGTTATTTAACTTTGTAGTTTTGCCTTATCTTTTCAAAACGAAAGCAGAGTTTAGCCCATTCTATTTACTAGCACGATGGATGCGCTATGCTGTGCTGGTTTTTTGAGGGGAAAATTCCGTGAAAAGAAGAGAAAAAGGGAAAAAATCCCATGAAAAGAAGAAAAAAAATAAAAAGGAAAATGAACAATGCTGAATAGTGGCTGACACCCTGAGAGCCCAAGGATTCTTGGTGTGTTAAAAAGAGTAGTTATAGTTATACGAGTTAATAGTGTATGTGTAGCTAAAGCATATTAAGTTGTCTATATGAATTTGCTCCTAATTTTTAGTACTCTAACTTTAACCTCTGTTTTGGTATCAAATATCCAGACATCATTTTTTAAAAGAATTTCACACCAAGATTTGCAAATGTTTCAAATCTAAGTATAGTTTAACAAGTTAAAGGTGCTTAATCAACCATCGGCGAAAGTCGAGAAGGTTAGGATAAGACCAGGGTTACTATCGTCTTTTAATTATTTAAAAAAACTTTTTCACATTTTATGTGATTCATGTATTTAGTCTTCAACTCCAGGGTCTAAAATAGGGTCCAACCGTGGCTTTGGAATTAGAAAAATATGAGTAAAATCACACTGTTGAAGAAACAAGGATAAACATACAATTAACCTTTCAAGTAGGGGCAAGAACACAAATCTTTCATTTGATTTACGCTCTCCAAATGGTAATCTCTACTATAGGCTTGGTACACCCTAGGATTGTGTTTCCCGCCGAGACAGTCCAACCATTACGCACCAAAGAATTTTTTTCTTGCGAATTACATAGGTACAAACGCAGACGCTCTGCAGGATTTTAACATCATTAAGATCAACGACTCCTAATGCTCCTTTAAAGGCTTCAACTCGATCCGATGGTCAATGTTATGTTATTTGGATCATCCTAGGCTTCAACGCATCTCACCGCACCACGCTGCGCCCATGCTCCTCCCCGCATTCCCACACCGCCCAGATTCCTCATCTGGAACTGAATTTCTTCGAAAAAAAATTATGCGCCCAAATGTACGCAGGGGGCGCAGTGTCCTATTCGTCAATCCACATCCGCGAAAGGCAGGCTTCCGGTCACATGGATTTCGGTAGCCGGAATGCAGCAGCGTTGGCTGCACTCTCCTCGCCGATTCCAAACAAGTCATCGAAGGGCGGCGTCGACGCCCCCATAGCCCCGCTCCCTCCTCGACGCCCCTGTCGTCCAAGATGTAATGCACCGTGCCCTCTTTATTTTGTATGTGATTCGGACTCATAAGCCATTCTCATACAAGTTAGAACAACTTGTGTGTAGCGATGATAAGTAGTCCGATATATATTTGGCATGAGCATATTTTTTGCTAGTTATTTAAATTAAAAAGTGTTAAAAACAAAAATAAATCGCACGAGTAGACACGCTGAGACAAAAACAGAGCCGAAAGAAAACCAGGAAAGTGCACACAATTCTGAATCTGATGGTTTTTGATGTAGGGAAAACGAAAAACTTTTGCATTTTAATTTCATGGTGTAACAGAAATCTCTCTACATGTACCTGTTTAATTATTAGTGATCTATTTGTTGATTACCTGCACTACATGATGCGGAAGACATCATCACGAGGATTGCATGTTGTAAGCGAGAGGCGCCTCGCTCTCGTTCGAGTCCACCGACGAGCCGTCGTCCTTCTCCGGCGCGGCGTGGTCCTCCCCGAGCACCGTGGTGTCTCCAAAGCGCACCCGGCGCGCGGCGCTGCTGGCGGTGGGGGACCCCGACCCTGACCCCGAGGCGGGCGACCCGTTGGCGTGCCTCGTGCTGCGCGCGCTCTTGAGGCTCTTGCTGCTCGGCATGGGCATGGGCGCCACGGCGCCGGCGCCCGCCCTCGACGACGACCGCCGCTCCACAATATTGGCCACCGTCGGAGCCGCCGCCGCCGCCGCGTCCGACGAGAAGCAGCACCGGTACGCGCACGTGGCGATCCAGAACGCCCACGGGAGCGCGACGAGCGCGAGCCCGGTGGCCGGCAGCCACTGCGGCACCTCGGACGGCGGCAGCGTGACGTAGAGCCCCAGGCACCCGCCGCCGGCCAGCACGGCGAGGAGCAGAACCACCTCCACCACCCACACGCACGCGCTCCCCGCCGGCGGCCGCGCCTGGTCCGGCGGCGGTCCCATCGATCCCGGCCTCTCGATCGGGACCGATCCGATAGAGACCGCTCAGTCAGATCACAGGGAATGCCAAGAACCTGATCATGAACTGCGCGCGACCAAGGACGCTGTTCATCCAAGATCAGATGATCTTTACAAAATCATCGATTAATCGATTTTGTGTCTCCTATTCTTTGGATGCCGATGATCGCAAAAAAGGCAAAAAGTTTTGGTGTCGTTGTTTTTGTGAGCATGTCTGAGAGGAAGTTGGAAATGTTCAACACAAGGGTAACTGAAAACTAGGGAGCGGCGGTTGAGGACACACCTTATAATAGCATAGCCGTGCATTTCATGCAATAAGATTTATTAATTTGCAAATAAGTACCTCCATTGCAACTATTGTCCAATAAGTTCTTGATTTGAATTTACAAATAACAACTAATGCTAGATTTACATTAATTTTTACAAATTGCAGTCTCACACTCCGCGATCCACTCACACAAACTATAAAAACAATTAAAAATTAGTTGGTAGATAGATAACTTCAGTGCAGATGATTGTCCACAAGTACATCCACAGATGTAGTGCAGATGATTGTCCACAAGTACATCCACAGATGTAGCATGGCAGCCATGATCAACTCAACCTAAGCAAGCTGTAAAGCTCCTTCATGTACACGCTCTCCTTGTCCTTCATCCTCCTCTTCTTGGAAAAGAGGAGGCCATTAATGAGCGGAACAACCAGTGGCACGATCGGCTTCTGCTTCTGCACCTTCCTCCTCGCCGGCGCCGCCACTGCCCGGCCGCCACCGGAGCCGGACACCACCACCGCCTCCCTATCGGCCTCGCCGAGCCTCAGCAGGTGGCCCAACTGCGGCCTGCTGGCGCTGGGGGCGCGGCGCTCGGCCCAGACCGTCAGCGCCATGTCGCCGCGGCCGCCGCCTCTCTCGATGCTGGCGCGCGCCGCCGCCGCGTTGTCAGCCTCCATGTGCGCCACCTTGGAGAGCGCACGGTGGAGCTTCGCGTTCAGGGTCGCCATGGACAGCTCCATCTCGGCCAGCCTCCTCTTGAGCTGCGACACCTCTTGCCTCGTCCTGGCCGCCTCGTCCTCCAGCTTCTTGATGGAGCTCATGACGATGAGGTCAGCTGTCTTGCGCTCCTGCTCGTCATCGTCGTCGTTGGCCAGTGAAGGAGACGACGCAAAGAACGGCGGCGAGGAGGGAACCAGGTACATTGGCATATGTTCTGCAACCGGCGGCCTTGGCATCGACACCGGGAGTAGGTTTGAAGCAGGCTTGCTATTGCCATTGCCACTACTCAACTCTTTCTTGGCATTGTAGGTGACAACACTTGGCTTGGAGTGGTTTTCCATGACACCATCACTCCGGTTAGGTGGCTTCACATCAGAGGCGGCAATGGCGACAGCATTCACCCTGGAGTTCACCTCCTTGCCAACACGACGGCCGCCATGCGCACCACCATTTGGCCTGAACTGGGCTTCCCTGACAAGGATGCGCTCCCCGAACACGGCGACCGCCTCCTTGACAGACCGAAAGGCACTGGAGGTGTCGACCTCTCCACGGTCCGATGCCATGGGGCTGCAGCGCTCAGCTTGCAAAGGATGGCTTCCCTGCAGGCCACAAGGTAGTGGGAGGCAAGAACAAGAGCTGCTGGAGGGGTTTTATTGTGGCTTGCTTCGCTTCCACTACAATGGCGGATAGGATGACCTATGCCAGCAAGCAAGACACTGGACATGCCACCTAATAGGATCCTTCAAGTAGAGAAGATGAAGAGTACAACGAGCTGAAATAGGAATGCTTTCTGCGCAAAAAATGGAGGACGCTATCTTGAGCTGTCCCAGGAATGTACAACAGGTCAGGATATCCGATACACTACAGCCTTGGCATCATGGGAGTGGTTGGGAGAAATCATGGTCCTTCTCCTTCACTTGTAAAAACAAACAGATATGTGACCCGTTTTTACAGATCTCCCTGAAGATTTCATGTTGGCACCCTTGTAAGGGCATCAACCATATTTCTGTTTGACAGGCATGTGAAATCAACCACAGGGTGGTACAAGGTACATTTCATTCTTTGTATCTCAAGGTCACCGTACATTGATGTGCTCAACAAAATCGACTATCCATGAAAACTCCGGTAAATGACAGATATACCCATCCTTACACACCTATTTGAATTAAGAAGAAAGATAAAAAAAGAATTTATTGAAAAACAATAACCAGCAGGGAAAGTTACCTGATGCTGACATTGGTGACAGCTTAAATCAACTAATTGACATTACAAGAAGACATACTACACATCTACTGATGGGTGAGAAACACCCGATTGTGATTGCCTCAAGGAAAAACGATCACTTGGCATATTTAAAACGTGAGATCCTTGGGATCTTCAATTATCTTGGCAAGTGTTTGCAGAAAAGCAGCAAGGTCGGCTCCATAAATAATCCGATGATCAGCAGTAACATTTACCTACATGTATCGATCAAGTGAGTGAAATTATCAAATCAAGTAAAAAGAAATTCATCAAACAAAAAATAGTTGGTGCAAAAGGACAAGTTCCACCACACACAAGAAACTTACCTGCATTTGGTTCTTGATCCCAATTCTACCATCTTTTGTACCAACAACGGTCGGTTCTGATGCCCCAACGGCCATGATTGCTCCCTTTTTTCAGTAACCCACATATTTCAGTAAGGTACGCAGCATTGCATGAAAATAGAAATGGAGAATAAAATAAATTGTTCATCTTACAGTTCCAGGTGGCAGTATTGCATCAAACCTATCAACTCCAAACATACCAAGATTCGAAAGAGTAAATGTGCCTGCAAAATGAACATGAGTAGTTCTTAGCATACACAAATAACATGGTCACCATATCATACATGTTTGATGTGGTTAACACCAAGAGCCTGTCGAGGAACACAGGCAGACATCCAATGGTGTTTTCTGTGTCATAAAATTAATTACGCTCCGTGCCATTTTTAGTTCATTTCTCACCTAAATTAATTACATGGAATATTATTTCAGTTCATTTGAGCAAGTTTTGGGTTGACACAATGATCCAATACAAATAGAACTTGCATCCCTACCCAGAGCACTAGAAATGTAATAAAAATAGCAATAGATATTAGATAATATAGGAACCTAGTCAATCAGTCAAATTTTTAGCTATGAAACTGAGACAACAGAGGACTAAGATAAAACATCAATGCATGTTAAAGCAACAGCACATTAAAAGGTGAATCAAATGTATCATTCCTGATCCCTACTTCATGATTTTAATTTTAGAATTTCAAACATGGTATTTTTATAAGGAAAGTAAACAAATCCATGAAGCAATCTACCACCACCATTTGGATTAATATTATATTTTAAAAGAAGGGGAAAGAACATCAACTTATTCAAAAAGGGCTGGTTAAGATCATCCCATTTGACAAAGCTGACAATCAAATAAATCCCATACATGATATCATTGGCATGCTGGATACTGGCCAGGGCTCGAGGAATTTCTTATCTTATTGCCTTTGCGCTAAAAAGAAATTAAGAGTTCTAGTTTGAGGTTGGTTTTATTTCTGTATAATTAAGAGCGCACTGGTTTTCTAAGTTTTGGCTTTTGCTTGCGTGAGGTTTGTGTTGTATGGGTTTCATACCCCTTTTTCTTCTTAATTATATAATGATATGCTGCTCTCCTGAGTGGTCAAGAAAAAATTGGCATGCTGGATATTCTACATTTGCAAAGAAACTTAGAGGAAGCATTATACTGTACAGAAGTATCAGCAAACAATATAGTGCATAGCACTTTATTTATTTCATGGAAAGAGTAAATTCTGCTAAATACGACAACCATATATATCTAATTTCTGAAAGTAAATCGTGGCATTGTTTGTAAACCTCTTTCCAGTGAAAATACAACAACACACACTACAGCAAAGACACAAGGATTTTCAGGTGAAACTCTGGGGCAAGGTATAGGAATTTTAAACTAGAAACAAAACAAGGAAATACAGTTACACTTATCTATATGACATAGGGCTTAAATGCTCCAAAAAACATAGTGAATTTGTTAAAGCCGACATAAATCATTTCAGTGTTTTTGTGGTCTACCCTCCATCTTCATATTAATAACTATATATCTACTCCAGAAAGTTTTGGTCTGCTATGAGGAGGCTCACTCCAAGCCAGAAACATTAGATAAAAGAAAATTTGAAGAAATCATAGCTAATTATCAGTCCATTACTTTAGATGCATAAAGCCAAAAAAAATAGTACTAAAATGCATGTTGCTGGGCCATTTCAAAATCTTGTGTAAACTAACAATTAACTTGATGCTATCTTAGTTTTCTTAACCTTACAAGTGAGATGAGATATCTCAGTGCATAACCTGCACAAAAGATACTTCTAGTATTGAGCATGAGTTGACAGCAGCATATTACTATAATACTTATAGAACTGAAGTTAACTGATTATTATTTGGCCAAACTCCTAGATTACATTATCAGAAGTCCATATCAAAGAAATGCAAAGAAGTCACAGCTAGGACAAACACTTCTGGACTACAGACTTAACAAAATTGTGATTGAATTAGGAGAATGGAAATTGATTAGACTAGAAGCATAAAGAAAACTTGAACATTGCTAATAAATTATCCAAAATTAGACCATCATAATGGATATCATAGTATTTACATGATAAGGAAATTATGCTTAACAAAGAGCACGATCCTTAAAATTAATACGAATCACTATGTTCTATAACCTATATGTTTACCAGGTACAAAATATTGTCAAAGTAAAACGCTTATGACAACATGCATATACACATATATCCAGGTAGTCATAAGCAATTTGTAGCAGTCAATTCCTTTCCTATCCACATGAAGAGAATTGCACTTGTATCAAGTAATGAACAGGAAGCATCAGAGCTGTATTAGGCAATCATTTGCTGTGATATAAAATAGTCCAAGACAGCTCCAAATCTCCAATTCGCAGCAAGGTGTAGCAGAGCAATGTAGGTGATGGTATCAGATACATATTCAAAGTTTATAGGGAAAAGTTTAAGAATCAGGGCGACCTACTACAGAGGGGGCTACACCTTTTCTATACATGACTGAAGTAACACTGAATGAAACTATATTTAGTGTTAATACAGATAATGAAGGATTGCATATGTATCCTGGTAATTGTACAGTTTTAAGAGCATCATAGATGATATGAGTCACAAAGCATACGAACACAGGGGATTGCACCCTTTTTGGCCTTATTATAGCTAATATAACTAGGTTAAACAGCATCACAGAAATATCTAGCATCCACCGCATTCTTTTATTCAGCCACCATAAACAGTTAATCTCTATAAGTATACTATCTTATTTAGGACATTAGAAAAGATACACAACAATGTGCTACATATTGAGATTTGTGTACGAGGCAAAGAAATACCAGAGTTGTACTCATGGGGCTGCAACTGCTTTGCCCGTGCCTTATTAACCAACTCCTTCCATTTCCTTGACAATGAATAAATGTCAAGCTGCCAAAGAACCAGTAAGTAACCATTTATTTAAACAAATCATAAAAAACATCAACATTCATTGTGCATGGTAAAGTGTTTGACCTTATCAGCATCTTGAAGAACCGGCGTAATCAACCCACCATCTATGGCCACTGCCACAGCAATGTTGATACTACTGCTGTATGTGAAGCTCTTCCCATCCCTGCAGCTGGAGTTCACCACAGGATGCTGAACCAGCGCCATTGCCGTCGCCTTAGCCAACAGTGCTGACATTGTAACCCCCTTTGACTTAATCTGTAAAAAAAAAAAAAACTTACCCCTTTATCCAATCATCAAATTCATAAGACAATGGTCCTAAACATTGTGAAAAGATGCTCACTTTTTTGTAGAGCAGATCAAGAGCATCAGTGGTGATGGTGTAACCGACCCTGAATGTCGGGACGGCAAGGCTCTCCACCATGTTCTTGCTGACAGCACCCTGCATTGTCGTGAACGGCACCGTCGACCCCAACGGCACATCTGGCCGTGTAGCAGTCACTGGTGCGGCCTTCTTGGGCGCAGCAACCGCAGCCTCGACATCCTTGGCCACAATTCGCCCGCCCGGGCCTGACCCCGTGACAGAGAAAAGATCAACGCCGAGGTCCTTGGCGAGCTTCTTGGCGTAGGGAGAAGCAACCACACGGCCCCCGCCTTGTGTTGCTGGCGAAGGCCGGGCGGGAGCAGAGACTGCCACCGGCGCCGGGGAAGGAGGCGGCGGCGGCGGAAGGGACGCTTCTTCAGCAGCAGTTTCTTGCGGAGGCGGCGGTGAGGAGGAGCTGGAGGAGAAGGAGGCGGCCTGTGACTGGGCGACCGGGATCTCCTCCTCGGACTCGGCGAGGAGCGCGATGGCAGAGCCGACGGGCGCGGACTCGCCGGCGGGCACGAGGACGGCGGCGAGGAAGCCGTCGTGGAAGGTCTCGACGTCCATGTCGGCCTTGTCGGACTCGACGACGACGACGGGGTCGCCCTTGGCGAGGCGGTCGCCCTCGGCCGCGGTCCAGGAGACGATCTTGCCCTCGGTCATGGTGGAGCTGAGCGCCGGCATGAAGATCTCCCGGATCTTGGCCTCGACCCGGCATCGGCGGCGGGACGAGGAGGGCACCGGCGCGCCCGCGCGGCGGCGGAGCGCGGACGCCGAAGGGAGGAGCGTCGACTGGAGGTGGAGGAGGCCGGCCATTGCGGGGTGGCGGGGGAGGAGAGGGGGAGGGAAAGGGAGTGTGGCGGGGAGGATTTGAGAGGAGTTTGATGAGATGGCTCGATCGCTGCTGCTGTTGTTGCAGCTGGCGGGCGCTGCTGCCTTGGGAGTATCGGAAGCGCGGCGGATTAGCCGAGGACGACGAGGGGTGGAAAGTTTTGGGCTCGTCGCTCCTGCTGCTTCGGGGATTGCTCCAACAAGCCCAAGGTTTGCGCCAATACTTTTTACCCTTTTGTTTTCCTGAGATACCTATATTTCATTCAAAATTAAAAAGAAGCATTTTATTTTCTCTAAAAATACCAATACAGTATTGGGGTTACTAATATATATCTTATTGATTACAAACTTCTATATCTTTTATTTTGATGTTGCTCCTTTTTGTGTTGTTGCCAATTTTTATTTGAGTAGATTTATTTTTATTCAGAATAAAGCAGGAAAGATGCAAAGGGACCATATGTTTTACCATTTGGAGGATATTTTTCACACTTTTCCTAATGTTCAGATGCCTTGAGTTCTCAGGTTATACCGTATCCACGCCTGTCCTAATTTTTCCTCCATCTAGCTAAATCTCAGCCTTACATGCTCATAAGCCAATGGTGAAGATCGTTGCCTGAAAACATACTATATTTATATTTCAGGCACCTAAAATATAGCAAGTTCCTATTTTTCATTATTAAATCATTTGATTTTTTTTAAACATTGGATCACAATCCAACCATCTGAATTCAATAATTCTCCAGGATTTTATGGCAAAAGAAAGCGGATGAAATGACAAAAAAAATAGTGAACGATTATCTTGAACATCTTGTTCTCTATATGGAATATCAAGTTTCCTTGAATTTTCCAAACGCCCCGTTTGGATCCTTGGAACTGAATTTATTTTAATAATCATAATCTAGACACATATTAATTAAGCTAATATAGTTGTATATGGATTATATTTGTATACTATTGTTGGCTATACGAGAGAGATACTTATGTATTGCATTTCTATCGTAGGAGAGCGAATTAAAGAGCGTGTTATAAGTTGCAAAATAGAAATATAGCATAGTTATTTATAGAATCAATTTTCATCTCTCACCCTATGAATTTGAGATAGTCTTATATGTGAACTTTGGAAAGTGTTGAAATGTCAAATTTCAAGCCAAATAGCATACTTTATTAAGTAGATTTTAATTTCTCCAAATAAAAGGATCTAAACGGCCCCGTAGACTAAAGCATTACAAATGTAACTGTTTTTCTTAAAAAATTGATACACCTCATATATTAATTATCATGTGACAAATAAACCCTTAAATAAGCAAAACAATATGGAAATGTTGAGATATGCACATTATAATAAATTAATGCAAATTGAAGCACAAGAGCAAAATAGTTTTGACAAAAAAAAGTGGGTTCCAACCTGAGAGGAACTAGGAGGGTTTTCATTAGGAAGAAAATATGCACCCAACTTATAGCTGAAGATGGCTCAACCTGAGATGAACTAGGATGCATGAAGAGGCCTTTCATCCAAACCAGAAAACAATATAAAACTTTTTTACGCAATGAAGATTAAATGTCGGACAATTTTCTCACATTAGACAGCAGCATTAGCTTATGATTTACTGTCCAGTTTTTCAGGACGAGGAGTTCTTCTCTTTTAGTTAAATAAACTACCTATGATTAATGCAAAAGATTGGTTGAACTAGTCTACATTGCAAAAAGATGGATGATCTCTTATGAAAACACATACCCATAACCTTTAAGCTTTGCTTATAACCATCTCTGCATGTTACAGCATAGAAACCATATTGCCACTCACTTCAAAGCAGATACCTATAATTACCTAATTCATCAAACATATAATGATCTACCATAAGCTACGGTTCTATCTTCTATAGAACTATACAAGGGCAGCCGGTATACTGATTACTGAGATCCATAAACTAAACCAAGCTGAAAGCCTGAAACTCCACCCAAAATTTATCTACGATATGATTACAGGCTGCTGCTGATTCACTTTGCATTGAAGAGCATCCTTAAGACGTTGCGCATCTTTGGCCGAGCATCTGGAGAGAATGCAACACAAGAGAGAGCAATGTTCAGGACCGACAGCATCTGGCTATGAACAGCAATTGAGGTTCCTGAGACCCTGGTATCAAGGATTTGCTCCCTTTGATCAGGCCTGCCTGAAAGACTTAGCGCCCACTTGGCTAACTCAGTGCCATCACTGACCGATGGTTTTCCTGTCAGCAGCTCAAGTAAAATGACTCCAAAGCTATAGACATTGCCAGCCATCGTCAGCCTCATAGTGTAAGCATACTCTGCAAACATGATTCAGTGAGTGTTAGCATAGTGTATTGGCAATCACAGTTTTTCAAAATTGTAACAAAATTATTCAAGCTTATATAAAGAAAAAAATAAATACTAGAATCTTCTTCCATTCTATAGCTGATCAGAATCCTTATCCTTAATAATCTTGACCAGAAGTAGAAAGACATTCTATTTAGAAATGATGTCTGACTAGATTAAAAGAGGAAACTACGTGTTAACAGCTTTGGATGGTATTCTGGGCTAACTGAAGTGCAGATGCCACACAAACAGGCAGTAAAGCAAATTTTGGATCACTTTGCCACAAATTGGATTGTTTTGCCACAATTACCAGATATGTAATTAGAAAATTGTTCTTGAAGCACAGGAACAATATATGCCCAAACAAATACGGTCAGACAAGATCACTGCAGTGCAGTAAACTAAAGAGTACAAAAGAATACATCAAGTTTAGCAATACTCAAAGCCTGAGATAAAATGATATGATATCAAGAAAGAGTGGCACAAAACTACTCAATTATCAACAGTTATAGCTTAAAGTTAACATTCAGGTACTCAGTGAATCACAATAGTATATCTTACCTGGTGGAATATAACCAACTGTACCAGCAATGATTGAAAAGCTTCCAGTACTCCTGGAAGGGTCAATAATCTTGTAAAGCTCGATATCTCCAATCTGAGGCTCATTTGTTGACTTCAAGTGGATGGTCCTTGTTGACAAATCAAGAAGCAAAACTGGCTGAGTGCACCCATGAAGAAATGTCAGCCCTTGGGCCACCCCCAAAGCAATGCTATATCGTGAAGGCCAGTCTATAACTTCTGATTTTCCACCATGTAGCAAATCAGACACTGTGCCATTGTGTGCATGCTCATAGATTAGGTAGGCACAATCTGTACTCAAGATGTAGGCCAATGGAACCATGACATTGGAATTGGCCAATTTCCCTAGAACCTCAATTTCACGAGAAAACTTCTCCTGGCTCCCAATTTGGAAAATCTTGTCACTAGAGTTAAGCTTTTTTACAGAGTATGTTGAGCCGTTAGGCATTACAGCCTTGTAGTAGGTGCAGAACCTGGTCTTCAAAAAGATATTCTGGTGGTTGGCGACTGCTTCCATTGCTTTCATGAAGTCAACTGCAGAGGTGTGGATGCTGTTCATAGTTATGAGACGGCCACTGATTATTTGCGGTACCGATTCTCCAGCTGGTAATCCTTCATCTTCAACACGATACACTCTCTTTGACAATGACATCACAATAATAACAGCAAGCACACATAATCCAACAAGAGCACCGGCAATAGTGAAGATGATGATGATGAAATAGTGCCTTTTTTTCTTATCAGTAGTAGGAGTGCCATTATTGTTTTCTGTACCATTTACAAGACCAGGATTTCCGACAACATCAATATCCAAATTTTGATTTGGGCGGAATCTAGGAACAGGCCCAGACAGATTATTATAAGAAAGCTCCAGCAGTGTCAGGCTTTGCAGGCTCCCTAATGAAGATGGCACATCACCAGACAGGTAGTTGTGTGAAAGATCAAGAATCTCCAATTCACTTAAAGAGTTGATGTTTGAAGGAATGTGCCCGTTAAGATGGTTATGACTAAGATTAAGAAGAGATGTAGTCACAGTTGTTGGCATGGTTGGGATGATACCAGTCAGAGCATTATCACCCAGATTGAGCTCGATTAGATACTTCGATGAACTGATTGAGATCGGAATAGGTCCGCTGATATTGTTACCCTGCAAATACAAGTTCGAAAGCTTTGGTATCTCGAAAATTCCACTCGGTATCTCTCCACTGAGTGAATTCTGACTAAGATTCAATGTGCTCAGGATTTTCAAATCAGAAAATGTACTTGGAATTGGACCACTGAGGTTGTTTTTTTGAAGCTTCAGCACTACCAGTTTGTCAAGCTTCCCTATGGAATCAGGCACTGAACCATTCAAATTATTTGATGCCAGATTCAACAACGATAAGCTCTTGCATCCGCCAAGCTCTGGAGGTATATTTCCTATTAACTGATTACCATCCAACTCAAGAGAAGTCATGCTCAAGGTATCACAAACTGACACTGGGATGTTCTCACCAAGCTGGTTTCCACCAAGCCTCAAGCGGTAGAGGCTTTGAGACAAGGTGCCAGGAATAGCTCCACTAAGCATGTTGCCAGTAAGATCAACACTCTGCAACCCCTGATGCAAGAGGAAATCTGAGGGGATCGTCCCACTCAGATTGTTGTAACTCAGATCCAACATCCTTACGTGCTTGGTAATCCAGCTGGCTATCGGACCAGTCAAATTGTTCTGGTTGGCTGCAAACCTAGACAGCGTTGTCACATTTGAGAGGCTCGCTGGTATTTCCCCGATCAGTTTATTGCCTGAAAGAAGCAAAGTCTCGAGCTTGGGGAGACTCATGAACTTATCTGGGACAGGACCAGTTAGATGATTCTGGCTGAGATCTAGCAGAGTAAGATTTTCATATCTAAACAAACCCAGAGGGATTGAACCACTCAGTTGATTACCAGACAATACCAACTCCAGCAAAGAGCCGACCATACTGGTAGGAACATCACCACTCAACTTATTGGTACTAGCCTTGAAGCTCTTTAATTTGTGAAAATAACCCAAGTCTGCACTGAGATTTCTACTGGCAAAGGAATTGAAGGACAAATCAAGAACTTCTAGCTGGGGGAAGTGGGATAAATCACTGAGCGAATTAGCCAACTGATTGGTGCTCAGATTAAGTGACTGCAACCCTTTTTTCATGGAGCAAGAAGAATTGGCGAAGAACTGGACGGACAAATTTGTGAAGGAATTTCGGGAGAGGTCAAGGGACTGCAAGGTGTCAAGCCGGCAAAGGTGGGCAAAGATGGAGGAGTCGGATAGGCCATAGTTTGGCAAGCTGATGCTAGTGACGGCCGAGAAAGAACTGAAATTTCTGCAACTGATTCCTGTCCAGTTGCATGGATTGTCTGCAGCGTTCCAGCTGGTGTTGGCGGAAGCGGATTCAGAGTTCACCAGACTCGCAATATCATTCATGATGGACTTTTGCGTGTCGGTCAGTGGAGGCGATTGCGTGGTGGTGGTGGTGGCGGCGGCGGCCGGTGGCACATCAATAAAGGAGAAGAACAACAAGAACGGCAGCAGCAGCCGTAGGAGGAAGAAGCCATGGCTGGCACAGGGAGCATACCTCCTCTCCACCATGGCCATCCCCCCAGTTGTTGGCCTCCCGCTCGATTAACCGCCTCGCCTCTTTCCCTCCTCCTCAATCCCAGCCGACCTCTACCAGCTCGAGTAGCAGGGGAAGGAAGAAAAAGACGAGATCTTTTTTTCCCCCTCTCTAGGATTTTGAGTGCTGGGTGTGCTCGCCCATGGCTTCCTCCATGGGTTTTGTTGAGATTGAGAACGAGAAGTGTGCTTCAGAGAGGAAGACCCAAGTCTGCTCACGATTTTGTTGAGGTGTTTCTGGTGGTGCCCCTTCTCTTGGGTTTGGGTTGGGTCCAGCGTTGACTGACCGATGACGTACAACACCGCCTACTGCTGTGTGACTTGTAAGAGCGAGCGAGCGACCAAAACGCCATTGGGAGCGGAAAGCCTGAAAAACCTCGTGAATTTTTGCATTTTAATCATTTTTGAAAACATTTTTTTACAAATAACCCTCTCGCAAAACATTTTCTACAAATAGACCGAATGCTCGGCGTGTCAGAACACCACGCCGTGGTATTAGGCTCGGCGCGTTGTCAGTTGACGCCGAGGTACCGCCACGTCACCTTTGACTGCAGTCGATGAATTTACCGTCGCACTGGGTCCCGCATTGGTCGGCGTGAGCATAGTTAACGCCGAACCTCGTACCTCGGCACAGCGTGACTGAACGCCGAGGTCTGGCATCATAAGGCCGTGCCGCGGCCCCCTTCTTCCTCCCTCCTCCATTCTCTCCTTTCCCTGGTGCATTCTTTTGTCTCCCCCTCTCTTCCCATGAACCCTAAACCCTAAATGCAGATCTAGAGTGGCCGGATCGACGTTTTGGACGCTTCCCCAAGGTGCTCCCCCTTCCCCTATTCCATTTCTTCTGGTTAGATTCGGTTCCATTTGTTTTTTTCTTTTGGATAGTAGTCTTTGATTGGTTGTTGTCATTTACGAAAACTATGTCTTAATTGATTGTAGGCCTCAAATGTATGTTTATTGTGGTATAGTAACTTTGTTTCCTTTGGTGGGTTAGTTGTTCATTGGTGGATTAGGGTTACTTGTTTATTGATTGCATTAGGGTTAGTTGTAATGCAAATGGTTCACCGTTAGTTTGTTGTAGTATTTATTTTTCCTTTGATTGGTGTTTAATTACAACATTTTTGTTAGATGCAACACATATATTGGGAGCAGCTATGGCGAAAACGGGGTCGCCCTAGAGAATTATACCCCGACGTGTCTAGCAAAGATGTCTCCGTCCCTCCTGACCTCCCTGTTCCTAACTGCGACTGTGGTTTCGCGGCCCACATTTTTCAATCGAGACATCCAGACACAGCTGCGCGCTGCTTCTATACATGCAGTCGTTTTAATGTGGTAATTGCTTCCTTATCTCTTTTTTCTTAATTTTTTGTTGTAGTTTACTAATATATTTGGTGGAATCTTGTTTTGCAGGACCATGAGAGGTGCCTTTTCTTTCGATGGATCGACAATGTAGACAAGTTTGACCCAAGGTACCTCCTTTTCAACGATTGGTGGAGAGGACGACATCCACGTGAGCACTTCGAGCGGTGGGTTCCACCTCCCCCGAACCCCCCGCCAATTACGAAGGAGGAGAAGCACTTAGCCACAGTTAGACGGCTCGAGGAACCTCCTTTGTGCGATTTACGGAGATCGAGCTGTGATAAACCCTGAGAATACATTGGAGTTTATGTGTCCAAACAAGCATGAAGTAAGTGCAAAGTGTATGTGTTGAAATGTTGAGCTATATGTGTTCATGTACTAATATCACCTTTTTTAGGTGTTTTCAATGGCGAAATATCGTTTCAAAGAGTGGTTGTATGGTCCTAAGAACCAATGGCCGGAAGAACCGCCAAAGAAAAAGGAAAAGAAGAAAGAAAGGGTAATTTACAAAGCACCTCCTGTCATGTGCTAATGTGGTGTTAAATCCAACTACGGCCTAGTCCCTTCGGAGCTTGGAATAGGCTATTATTGCGGCCATATGGTTGACTATGATGAGGTTGGTTATTGTTGTGGAAAACATAAAATTGTATTTTTTTCTTTTGCTAATACTTATGATCTATTTTTTGTTTCAACAGAGCACTAAGAAATGCAAGTGGGAATCTTATGATGGTCAAGCTAAGTTCTTGGATGACTTGAAGGGGAGGCAAGTAATTGCACGGAAGAGGGGATATGGACCTGACTATGTCGACCACTTCGTTAAACTACGAAAGAAGAACATGCGTGAGTTTGCTAGACAGTGCGGTATTCGTAACCCGATCGCTGTCAGGGTTGATAAATGGGGGTTGGAGAGATGGAGGGCGTTAGAGGAGGAGAGGGCAAGGAAGTCTGCAATGGAGGAGGAAAGAGTACTGATGCAGGTCTTGAACGACCATATTGCTTCATTGTGTGCCAGTGAGTCATTGCAAGCCTTGTTATTTTTGTTGCCTACTTTTAAATATAATATAATTGCGTTGCTAACTTGTTTTGCATTTATACATGAAGGGATTGGGTGCAGCGGAGAGCATGCCACAGAGGTGCTCATGCAAGGTATGTGGAAAAGAAGTTACATAAGCACAGAACGCGAGTTGGTCGTAGCGTTCTATCTCCGATTGTGTTGGACGATGAGGAGGATGAGGATGACACTGGCAGACTGTGCGAGCTCATCGCTCTAGCAGAGGTGGGCTTGCAGGCGGAGGAGGATGAGGACGCGTTCTTCTCTCAAGCCGTAGAGGCCGTAGATAAAGTGGAGGCCGCTTACTACAGGCGTTAGGCAGATCAGGGCAATGCATGTGAGCCTAGACACATGAACGAGGCGGTGCAGAATGCATTATTGTCTCACGCCGCAGATGAAGCGGAGGTCGCTTACTACAGTCAAAAGGCAGATCAGGGCAACACAGGTGAGCCTAGCCATAGCAACGAGGTTGTGGTGAAGGATTGGTACTCCGACGACGAGTTGCTTACTCAGTATGTTTCTGACTGGTAGTTCCATGCTTTAGATTTGGTAGTTCCATGTTTTATTAGTGAACAATGCTATTATGTATTAGACCTTTCATTGTGTTGTCTTGTGTATCATTTGAACCCATGTAAGGAACATTGTATCCATTTACCAAACTTCGGAGGCCTTTTTAGCACATTTGGCATTTGAGATATTCAAACGAGTACGAATTGTAGGCTTTTCTTGTAATAATGGTGAAGCTGGTAGATGGGTAGATCCTGCTCCCCCACCGCCACCGCCGCCTCCACCTAGTATGGGAGGATACTGCAAAGAAGGTTCTACTCAGTTTGCATGTGGGAGCATTACTAAGAGTAAACTATGTTTGTCGTTATCAGTGGTGATGTCATGTAGGCTATGTTTAGTTTGAATTCCCTAAGGCATGTTCTGTTGAGTAAACGACCTCCTCGTCTTGCTTTGTTAGGGTTTGGTTTGGCGCTCAGTGTTGAGTCGGCGCACACCGAGCATAATACCATCGGCGTTGAGTCGGTGCACGCCGAGTGTTGGGCCGAGGTCATGGCAATTGTGGCCAGACCTAGGTGTCGAGTCGGGCTGTGCCAAGGGTTGGGCCGATGTCTGGTCGCGGAGGGTTGGCTGGACTCGGCGCTGAGTCAGGCCACGCTGAGGTATGGGCCTCGGCGTCGAGTCGGGCCACGCTGAGGTTTAGGCCTCTGTGTCATTTGACTTGACTCCTAGGTCTGGCATGTCGGCGCCGCGAGCCTGATTTACTCAGTAAGGAACCGGGACAGGGCCTCCGTCTTGGCGTCAAGTTTGATCACGCCGAGGTCTGTTATCTCGACGTCAAGGTAAAGCACGCCGAGCCTTGGAGTCTATTAAAAAAAGAAAACTTTGAGGCAAGTTCCAGGTTACCATGAATAGAGTTTGAAGCATTTCACCATAGCATTTTTAGAGTGTTGTTCTACGACGTGGGGGCCTTCCCTATTGTCAGATGTTTTAAAAGCGTCCAACATACTACTACATGCATTACAACATTACCTAACGATACAGTTGCATACAACATCCCCTACTGTCCAACATACTACAACATGCATTACAACATAGAGTTCCATACAACATATCGACGAGTTAGCATGTTCGCAAACTTACATGTTGTGGAAATAGGATGTCGAGCTCGTTCGTGTAGCTGATGTACGTGTGGCGGGAGACGTGGTAAGTACCGCAGGCTCGCTCGTAGTGGCATGCCACAGTAGGGGTGACGACTGGGTCTCCTGCTGGGAACCAAGCCTAAGGGTGTTCAATCTTCCATGGCCTCCCAACTAGAAGTCTCTCCCACATCCAAATCTGAAAAATTACAGAAATGTGTTAAACAAACAACAATCGAAGAATTCATACTTACACAAGTTTTGATTTACCAGAAAAAGTGTGGTGCACCCTGACATTGTAGCATGCACGCCTGAAGGACGCCAACAAGCCTCATATAGCTGATGGTACAGGAAGGAAAGTACCGCCGAGCCCCAGCTCCTGTTCCCGGCATCGTCCCAGTTAAGAAGGCACGAGATGTACATTCACGACGCCGTGTCTCCGGTGCCATCAGGGAATAGAACGGTACCAAACATGTGCAGGACCCAAGCCCTGCAGTAGTAGTTCACAGTCGCCTTGTCTGCTAAGGGTGGGCACTACTGAAACTACTCCCAAAGCAACTATAGTGGCACACCACTGCTACGCCGCTTCTTGCCAGGCTAAAGCTCTGGTAGGGGATGTCCCAAGAACTGAGCCACATGGTCCTCCCATCTAGCAGACTCCGTGTCTCCTGTGATCGGGAATCCTTGGATTTTTAGTCCAAGGATCATGGCTGCATCCTCCAAAGTGATCGTCATCTCTCCGCACGACAGGTGGAAGCTGTGTGTCTTTGGTTGCCACCTATCAATCATCGTTGTCAGCGCCGCCGGGTTGAAAGGTGGCACCCCACGATGACAGGCACGAGCAACGGTAGCAAGCTTCGCACGCTTCAGGAGGGGCATGCAGCGCTCATCATAGACCATGGTCATAGCGGACTCATGTGTCATTGGCCTCA